TCTTTCTTCCTACTGCACATTGTGTCTAAACAACAGTGGAGAAAAGGCTCAAATGTTTGCGTACAGTACGTGTCAACTCAAAAACATCTAACTACAAAAGTGATAAACAGTAGGACCACGACAGTTTGAAAGGGTCCCACACAGAGAGAGCAACGATGAGCGGTGGGAACTCAAACGGTGCATCTGCAAATGCGGGACATTTATATGATAATGTTCCTGGATTTCACAGCAGTCGCATAACTCTGTTTAATTGGCAATTGGCAAAGAAAAATAAGAGCAAACAATGTATGTGTTTGAATAATAATGATCGATTTATTCTCCTACTCATAGGGAAGACTTATTTTCTGGTTGAAGTTGAACTCTCTCAAATGCATTCTGGTGATAAAGATGATATTTTAATATATCTATCAATTTATCTATCGATTTATTTATCTATCTATCTATCTATCTATCTATCTATCTATCTATCTATCTATCTATCTATCTATCTATCTATCTATCTATCTATCTATCTATCCACCCATCCATCTACACCATTCAAGTATTTCATTTCTACACTCATTATGTTACACTAAATTTTTATAAGGTCTCTACTCATTATACAATGTCAGTCACTCTTACTACATCTTTTCAAGTCAACCACATCTTCATTTTCACAACTGACATTTTTTAATATGAATGGTTATGTTTTTAAAGTATGTTCTTTGAAATTTTTACAAACCTTTTTTCTTTATCTCCATTTCTAAAACATGTCCATGTGAGGGTTTGACTATGTTCTGAAGATATCTCTAAAATGTTGTGCTGTGTACATGTCACACTCCTGTACCTGTGCAATGACAATAGGTCTGTTCTATTCTATTCTATTCTATTCTATTCTATTCTATTCTATTCTATTCTATTCTATTCTATTCTATTCTATTCTATTCTATTCTATTCTATTCTATTCTATTCTATTCTATTCTATTCTATTCTATTCTATTCTATTCTATTCTATTCTATTCTATTCTATTCTATTCTATTCTATTCTATTCTATTCTATTCTATTCTATTCTTCATATTCTGCTTCATCTCTCCCTTTCTATTCTCTCCCTGCTCCGTGACATAAATATACAGTGTACATCATTAGGTATAATTGTCTAGGTGACTATAGCTCACTTTGTCATAAAACACTTTTTAGCTGTAAACAAAAGGCAACAGCTGGAGAGGGCAACGGAGCATGACTAATAGTGGTTTATTCTACTGCACTGTCACCGTAAAACTTCATCAGTATAACAGTGACAGCTTTAATAAAATACACTGTCAACCAGACACTGCAACACAGTCTGAGTCCTAGTAACATTCTACACATATCCTACATATATATATATACAGTAT